CTGAAGCATATACATATTCACATTTCTCCATAATTTACTGGCTCTGCATATACACCGTACTGGTAACAGTGTGTAATAATAAAATACCTGGGTAATACTTTTCTACCAAGTTATAAAAATATTTTATTTGGACATTGTGAATTTGCCAAAAAGTAAAAGACAGATGCTTTATACTCAGAATTTCCTCTAAATGTCAAAAACAGTTTTTAGTTTTGAGATTGCTAAAGAAGATGCCAGATGGTATCATAATTTCAAAGTGTTGATTCTAAACAATTTAATGCAGGTTGACAAGTTGGAGCTCCATAACATCAACCTATAAAGCACAGGTGTCCACTAGCAACAGAACAGTCTTGTAGCAGCCACTATTTGCAAGGTTTTAATAGGTATTAACTTTGGAATTGAAAAGTGAAGGCAATAAGTGCAAAGTTAAGCCTTGAAACAAAGATTTGTTTGAAATCAAAGAGTTTTTCGTGGACCAAGTGGCACTGATACAAATGTGTGTCTCCTTCAGACGTCCTGTTTATGCCATCTTCATGTGGAAAATGTATCCTCAACCTTCCTGGCAGCCACCCTAATAAAAATTGGCCCTCAGGTGGAGTGACCGTTTGTTTTACGGGTAGCCGATCTTAGATTTACATTCTTCCAAGGCAAAGCCTTGAGTAGTAGTGATGCTGCAAAACTACTCAACTCTCTTATTTTAGATTTTTTGGGCAAAGAGAGAGAAATACCATTTCTCTGCAAGAGCCCTATTTAAGTTGAAATGGAGCCTTAATGTCTGTTTTGGAAAGATCATACCTTCTTAAATAGGGTCCTATCCAATTCAAACTCAGCATTGTAGAGATTGGCAGCAGAATCCCTCCTGGGACTTCTCGGCTTTACAGACTCAGAACTTGCTACTATGCAGGAATTTTCAGCCAGGAGAGAGCTGGACATTTAATGTTGTTCTTGGCTGCATGTGGAACTAACCCCCTTTTCCAGGAGAAGGTAGGAAAACAAATCAGTCAACTGCAGCATAGAAACAAGATGGGGCATGGGCATAGTGACAGTGTCTAGGTCTGGCTTGGAGGGAATTAGCAATAAAAGAGAGGAAGGAACTACAGTAAGAATCTGATAACTGCAACTTACATGCATTTTTTTTTAACTTCCGTCATCTAGGTTAAACTTTAAAGGTAAAACAAAATTCTGCTCCTTTAATCTCTTGTAAAGATGGCGGCGTTGATTCATTACCACAACCCTAGCCTCTGGGCCAACACATGACTCAGTTTGTCTAAACCAAGAGATATTATTTACCACTCTCACCAATCATAGTTCTTAGTATTCACTTTGTAAATTTAGAGTAGGAATTAGGATAAGAAAGGAAAAGATGGCAGTCTGAGCAAAGGATGGCTGTAAAGATCTGCTTTAGAATTATCTTGGCCCACCTGCTAGGTCCTGACTGAACACCAGAGATACCCCATGCCTGGAGATGAGGACATGCTTGGCAACAGCATCACTATGCCCACTCAGGAGGCTTACAGTGAGGTGCTCCCTACTCTAACCCAGGCATGACAAGGTGATGGCACCAGACTTTTTGGCACAATATCTCCCAGGTGGCCACCTCTAGTGGGATTGGGACAGTGTGACCTCTTAGAAACCTGGAGGAAGAGTCAGCCTGGCAGAAAGATGTGCTAAACCAGTAATTACAGTGAGTACAGCCATCTGTCCTATAATGTGCCATATGTCTTCCTGAGAAAATAATCCCTGCATGATGGAATTTTGTGCTCCAAAAGTAACAGGGTTCATAGGAAAAAATGGAGTTGGGGCAGAAAACTCAAAACTTGTACAGTCTTGTAAGAGATACAAGAAAACTACAATTCTAAACGTCCCAATAAAGAAACATAATAGCAAATACAGAACGTTATTTTGACAAGACATGAAGTTTGTTTGGTGGAGGTGTTTATAGTGAAGAGTTGTGGTTTTTGAACTATGGAGAACAGGTGGAAGATTACAGTTTTTCGAACAAAATGATACCAGAGGTAGATGGCTGTGGCTTATTGTCCTGTTTTTGTTCTTCTCAACTGGCTTAAAACAGAAATCCCACTTTTATTGTTTTGTTAATTGCCCTTTCTCATAAAGAAGCTATTTGTATGGCCCTAAATGAGATCAGATGACATCATGCACTGATGCCACATGAGATTTGCAGTTATCTTCAGCCCACTGCAAATGAGTGCTTTTCAGTTTTCAGTTCCTCAGAAAGGTGATTATTGGGAAGTTAATATTAAGCTCTTGTTTCTTCTGTTTTCAGTGTTGTGTCCTTGTTCATCAATGTGATTACTTTGGCCAAGTGGCTATTGCAATGTCACATTTTCTCTTGTTTCCCAACTTCGAAATACTTAAGGCTTTTCCTTTTTCCTTCGCGATATAATCAAGACACTTACTCATGTTTTACTGAGAAAGTCTACAAAGTTGGAATACAGCAGGCAATGCAATGGGTAAAATGGGGTAAGAGAGATAAGGTGTTTTGTATATTCTTCCCCAGGTCATTATGCTCAGCTGGATGGTGTTTTTCACATTTACCTGGTGTTACCTGTTAAAAGGTAAATTGAGGCATGTTAACAATTTTAAGTTTATTTGAGCAAAAATTGATTCAAATTGGGCAGCATCTAACCTAGCAGATAGATAGGAGCTCCAAGGAGCTGTTCAAAATGAAAGACTTGTATAAGGCAGAAGGAAGCAGGAACAAGGAAGTTATACTAGGCAAAAAAAGGGGGTTACTTTCCTTTAGGGGATGGCAGGGGTCTCACTGGGCAGATTATCGAACTAGTGCCGATCATGCGATTCCGACTGAATAATTTAAGATTCCATTTCTGGGAGAGCTGAAACCGTAATTAAGTCTTGATTTGGTGACATGAGGCTTAGCATAATCGACTCCATTTTGGGCCTGTTGTCTTGTTTTTAACATACCCAATAGCATAAAGCAGTCACCTGGTGAAAAATTGCATATGAACAAATATGATTTTGGTTTTGGTGAATTTATTTATCTGCACTAATTTGCACATTACAGGCACACATAGCACCAGAAGATATATATCAATCTTGTCCTTGCCATACACTTCTTGTAATAATTAGGGTTTCCTTCTTTTTCTGTAAGACTTCTTATTTTTTTGAAGTTCTGCTTCTTCTATTCATTTTACTTCAATAGGAGCTGCAATTCTAGTGGTCCAGTTTGTCTTCCCCCATCAGGTTACTGAGTCCCACACAGAGAGCTGTGATTTTTATTTGGCTACTTGTGGTTGTGTTCTCTCAGGATATGGACAGGTCAGGCTGTTAAACTCTCAAGCAATGGCAAATGGGCACGCGGTGGACGGTCTAAGAGTTTCTGTTTCTGAAGGCCACTTACTTGGTGCAAAAGCCTCTGTGCTCTGGTTCTCTCTGAATCAAAATGGAGTGAGCTCCCAACTGCGAGGAGGAGCAATTCAGTCCACCAACATAGCCCCCGTGTAGGTCTACATGGGTCTGTAGGATCAGGCAGCTCCTCCCCTGCCAAGGGGGCTCTCACACAGCAAGTGAGAGTGAGGTTGCTGGCGATTAGTCTCAATATTCTTATCGAATCTTTAGTATTATGATGACTGGGCTCAATATTCTTATACAGCACGTCACTATGATCTCACCTGTTCAAATCCTGCAGTTTTGTTGGAAACAAGGGCTTTCTTCAGTGAGCCTTTCAGCAACCAAGAAATATGTGCCAGGCATCGTTCTAGGTGCTTTGGATATACCAGATAAAAATGCCTCCCTATTAACGCTGCTGCATCAGGAGCTGTGGGCTTATTTTATATTGGCTCACATCTAAGATTATCACATCGAAAGTAAGCGGTGGAGCTTCTTTTTGGTCTAACAGTTTAAAATGTAACTACCATTTCGTTGTGAATGGTAGCTGTTGACCTGTACCAGGTTATGCTTGCTTTATTACAGAATCTGTGATACATAAGTATAAATATTCCTTCCCATCTAGCAGTGGCTAAGTCCATGGGCTTTTGAGCCAGACTGCCTGGTCAAATCCAGATTTTACCACTCAGTTCTGTGACCTTGGCCAAGTTACTTACTGCTGCCTCAGCGTGCCCATTTTTCAATGAGAAGGATAACTATGTACATTATAGGGTTGATGTATGGATTAAATGAATTAAATAAAGCAGTTGTGTTTGGCACATTAGCAGGTGCTTACTAGCAATGCTTCCTATTTAAGGCCAGTTACTCTTGCCCTCTAAACACACTTACATCATAGGTCACACATTGTTACATCAGCACCTCCAACGCCCAGCTGTGGTTATTTACAAGTCTCTATCAGCTCCTTTCTACTCTGCAATAGACTGTATGTTTTTTGGTGTGGCCTGTGTTGGGGGAAGACGTGTGACTTCTGTTTCCCCGAGGCCTAGCACTGTGCCTGGCATAGAGCAGGCACTCAATACATGTTTGCTGAATGAATGGGAAAGGTGGTCAGAAACTCACTCCCAGTTGTCTAGGGCAAGAGAAGAAAAAAAAAACTACCATAAAAATGCCCAAATACAGTAGTTCAGCATCTTAATTTCTAGAGAAGAGATTTTGCTAGGGATAGTTATCCCAACAGCCCAATCTAAGTGCCCAGCACAGAATTTAATAGGAACCAATAAGAGAGATATGGAGATATAGAGCAGAGGTCTGCAAACAGCATCACAGGCAGGGCAGTGAGATTTCTAGGCAGTAGACAGGCATTATTTTGTTATTTTGGTATCAGGGAGACCAAAGAGGCTACGTGAAAAAAGATGACAGCAGTTTGTAAATACCTCAGGGCAAATCTTACCCTCCTGAGCTGGAGGGATGAACTCAGATGAATGGGAGGTTAGATCAAATAGTCACTGAAAGGAAAAGTGAAGGTGGGCCTTGTTTTCCCAGGTGGCAAGAACAGTGATCCAGAACTTGAAGAAATCTGCATGGATGGGCACTTGCTGGCAACTTAAACTGCGATGCTACGTAGGGTTTTTTTCCATTAAATGCAAAATTGAATAGTCAACCAAGTAAGCCATTTTATTCTTATCATCATTTATAACATTCAAATCAGATTACATAGTAAAACAATTCTATAAAATATTTTATTGCAATTTCCTGTTGAAGGAATATCCTTTCCTGACCTTTCTCCACAAACTTCCAGTACTCATAACAACTTTGTCAAAATGCAGTCCTTGGTTCACTCTGCCCTGTAGGTTAGGAGAAATTCATCAGGAAGAAGTTTCAATCACCTTGTTGTTATTTTCTGTAATTTTCATTCTCTTATAGCCGATAATCTTCAGGTCTGAAAGACAAAAATCAACATTTATTTCTTCATGAATCATTATTTCATTTTCCCTTCCCTGATGAAGGAAGATTATTTTTCCAATGTAAAATGAAAGCAACTGTTTATCAAGAAATATCTGCAAACATTATATCTAAATGTTTGGTGAAAACCACTAAAGCCAAACCATTACAAAGTAGAATGGTTAAGTGACAATTCTCAAGTTCTTTTGAGAGTATAATAAATATAGGCCACCTTGTACCTATGCATGAATGTATTAAGTTAAAAAATTTGAATTCAATTTCTGTTCTATTTTAGAGCATTTTTAAAAAATCTTTTATTTAATTAATTAATTTATTTGCTGAGGAAGATTCGCCCTGAGCTAACATCTATGCTAATCTTCCTCTATTTTGTACGTGGGTCGCCGCCACAGCATGGTTGCCGATGAGTGGTGAAGGAACGAGCCTGGGAACTGAACCCAGGCCGCTGAAGCAGAGTGTGCCGAACTTAATCACTTGGCCATGGAGCTGGCCCCTAGAGCATTTTTTCATCAAGTCCTTTTCATAGAAAGGATTATTGTGACCTGTAAAATACATACGAGATGGATTTACCTAATAAAGGCAAATTTTTTTTTTTTTTTTTGTGAGGAAGATCAGCCCTGAGCTAACATCCATGCTAATCCTCCTCTTTTTGCTGAGGAAGACTGGCTCTGAGCTAACATCTATTGCCAATCCTCCTTCTTTTTTTTTTTTTCCCCCAAAACCCCAGTAGATAGTTCTATGTCACAGTTGCACATCCTTCTAGTTGCTGTATGTGGGACGCGGCCTCAGCATGGCCTGAGAAGCGGTGCGTCGGTGCGTGCCTGGTATCCGAACCCGGGCCGCCAGTAGCAGAGTGTGCGTACTTAACCGCTAAGCCACGGGGCCAGCCCAATAAAGGCAAATTTTGAATGAGTCATTTCCCTATTTATTTTAGCATATGCTAAATTTAATTTTCATTACGATACATATAGAAAATAAATGTATAAACACCAGCTCTTTGATATTTAATTATACACATATAACTGGTATTTTCCTCATTTATATATTTATAGGATTAATCACACCTGAAAGTTGCTTCCAGTAGTAAATTAAAACAAAGAATATTTTCAGGGAAATGTCAAATCATACCAGTGGAGAAAATGAAGAGTAGGAAATAATAAAATGCAAAAAATTTTAAAAAGTGTCTTGTTATCTTTTACATAGTGTAAGTGTGGAACTCATATGGAATTTTCAGAAGGAAGTTAGTAATAAGCGGCTAAACAGATATTTTTGAAATAGCTATAAAAATATTCGATAGTTTGAGTTCCTTTAAAAAGTAGACGAACTTGGGGCCGGCCTGGTGGTATAGTGGTTAGGTTCGTGCACTCCACTTGGGTGGCCCGAGATTCGCAGGTTCGGATCCCAGGCACGGACCTACGCACCGCTTCTCAAGCCATGCTGCACCAGGTGTCTCACATATCAAGTAGAGGAAGATGAGCGTGGATGTTAGCTCAGGGCCAACCTTCCTCAGTAAAAAGAGGACTGGCAACGGATGTTAGCTCAGGGCTAATATTCCTCACACACGAAAAAAAGTAGATGAATTCTGTTGGCCCTGAAACAACTAATCTAGTCCCTTTCTACATTTACAGCCTGTTTTCTTAAACAAAATGCTCACAAGATACCAGATAGCCCAGCTATGAAGACCAACAGTCTAGTGGCTGAGTAAATGAACTATATTACAATTTAAAGTTATTATTTAACTCTGAGGGACACAGGCACTCGTCTGGGAAACCAGCCAAATATGCTTCACCATATCAGCCATCCTATAACAACAAGAAGAGAAACTGCAGAATTTTGTCACTGTTTTTGAAATCTCTTTCCAAATGTAAAAACTGTATCCAAAGTCTGGGAAATGACAATTTGATGTGAAAACTGTCACATCAAATTGTGAAAAAAAAAAAAAATAGCTTAAAGCGGCTCCAAAGTGTATGCTTTTAATCTCTGGTATGTGACTCAATGCAATCAAAGCAGTTCCCAGTCAAGAAACACCAGTACATTTTAAGAAACAATTTATTCTCATGACCAGCTGGTTCCTATAATTACAAAAGGGTGGTGGTGACGCCATTGGAAAGAAATCTAAGCTAATGTCCTAACAAGAAATCTCTGCAACTCCACTCAATAAATAAAATGTGCTTAGTCACAGTCTAGTTCTTTCCACACCAAAGGTTAATTTATTAAGTAACAATGAGATGACAAACGCACCTTTTAATGGAATTTAGAAGTAAAATTGGAAATGTGTATGAAGCATGTATCTGTCATGCAAGGAACGTAGACAGTGACCTGAAGGCTATAGGGGGCTAATAGAGCCCAAATTTGCTTCAGGAAGATTTTTTGAGGAAGTGAGGAAGGAGATGAGTGGTCTCTTAGGGCTGTCGCAGTGATGAGCGAGAAGAAAGGCCAGGTTCAGGATTGAGAAGCAGAAAAGTAACATGTTTGGGGGAGAGAGGGTAGGAAGAGAGAGGGAAGAGGGAAAAGGCCAGGGAGATGACAGAGGAAGGAGCTACTGGAAAATGACAATCCAAGGATGACTACTAATTTTCAGCTTGAAGAACTCAGTGAATGGCAATGCTAGTTTACTTTTTCAATATAGGGAACACAGGCACAAGAACAGATTCTGAAGGAAAGAATCTTGGTTTTGAGTATGATGAAATCTGGACATGGCAGGCAGCTAGCAATTAGGATTTGGAGTTTAGGAGAAATGAGGCCCAGGGGAAGACATCTGAGAGTCTCTAACATAGATTCCTTCTTTTCATCCCACTTCCACATAGCAAGCGGTCCTGTTTAAAAATCTTCAATAGCCCTCCACTGCTTTGTCAAAGTTCAAACACGCTGGAATTTAATATATAACCTTCCCGGGGCTGGCCCAGTGGTGTAGCAGTTGAGTTCGAGTGCTCTGCTTTGGCGGCCCAGGGTTCGCTGGTTCGGATCCTGGGCACAGACCTACTCACCACTCATCAAGCCATGCTGAGGCGGCGTCCCACATAGAAGAGCTACAACTCTACAACTATGATACACAACTATGTATCTGGGGCTTTGGGGAGAAAAAAGAAAAAAGAAGAAGATTGGCAAGAGATGTTAGCTCAGGGCCAATCTTCCTCAAAAAAAAATATATATATACATACATACATATATATATAACCTTCCATGACATGGCCCCAGCTAACCTTTTTGAGTTTCTGAGTGATTCTTTCTACACCCTATCCCTCTACGTTCTAGTCCCACTACGCTACTTGCTATTGCTCAGATAAAAACTTTCACACCTCTGGACTTGGGTACTTGAGATTTTCTTTGCTTGGAATATCTCTTATCTTTTCTCTGCCCCGTTGAACTTGACTGATTCTTCAAACTCCACCTCAAAAATCACATCTCTGGGAAGCCCTCCACAACTCTTCCTTTCTAACTTAGGCAGGGCTCCTTTCTCTGAGAGTACCAGAGAACTTCATGCATACTTCTATTACAGTCTTTCTGAAATTAAACTTGCCCTTACTTATGTAAATAGATTTTGTTATTTATGTAAATAATATGTGCTGAGTGTTTATTAGATGGCACAAAGTATAGTAACTACTTCACATGCATTATCTTCATTTTATCCTCATTTGTGAGAAAGACACGGGTATCAACCCCATTTTACAGGTGACAAAACGAAGGCTCAGAGGAGCTGAGTAACTTGTCTAAGAATACACAGCTAGGAAATGGATAGTAGGGATCTAGTGCAGACCTCTGACTCCAGTGCTTGCAAGCACCATTTTATTCTACATGACTCCTGTTAGGCTGTCAGTGTTTTTGAAAGCAGGGTCCCAATATAATTGATCTTACACTTCCAGTAATTAGCACTGTGCCCAGCATGTAATGGATGCTTGTTAAGGTATCTGTCATTAGAGTATAGTGACTGCCTTGAAAATGGCACTTTGTTTGCAAACCCCTCCTTTCCTTTTGCTATTGACAAGTAATCAGGATCTTTTGCAGACGGTTAATTTGCTTCCAAAGGGAGAAAACAGTATCACGGCCAAGGGCCTAGATACTTCAGATGCTCGCATAGCTAGAAACATCAACTCACACTGGAGACAATTAACGATATTACACTGCTTCAGGAGGTACCCCTGTGGGGAAAAGTGAGTTTTTTATACTACATGTGGTTCTGTTTCCCTCTTTCCACACACAAACGAAAGCAGACACACATACACCCCATTTGTATTCTTACTCCCTTCCACTAAAAGAAGGAAATCCACGATAACATAAGAAACGAAAGGGGAGGGCTATTTACCTGAGTGCTTCTCAAACTTCAGTAGGTAAACAAATCACTTGGGCTCTTGTAAAAAGCAGATTCTGATTCATTTGGTCTGTAGAGGGGCTCATGATTCTGCATTTCTAACAAGCTCCCATGTGATGCAATGCTGGTCTATGGACCACAAGCTGAACCCTAGCAAGCGTTCACCTCAGGCCTTAAACAGAGCTCTTCCTAAGTCAGGAGATGACTATTTGAGGATGTTGAAGAAGCAAAAGAGGCATCTTCAGTAAGAAATTGCTAACACTATGCCGTGCCTAACAGAAGGTAACATACTTCCTCCTTAGCTAGAAATGATTCCAGTTGATATGTAACATCCTTCCCGGCTCTTTCCCCACCAGAGGACTTTATTAACATGCAGTTTTATGCTTTTCTGATACAATAATAACTAATTTTTAATTAAGTTAATGTGTACTGGATACTGAAATTTTTAGTATCTATCATCAAAGAAAGATTAAGTTGTAGTTCATGTAGCTTTAATAAGTAAATGTCACCGTATTTAGGTTCTTTAAAACTTGTTAATCCATATATGGCAACACTATATTAATCAGAATTGAATTCTCAGATTATGTTGCCTACACATTTATCCTACTTTATGTTTAGATCTACGTAATCTCCTCACTAGATTAAATAATTTTTAAAAACAAGAAACCTGG